TTTGCTACGTTGTTACCACTACGCATTGGCGAATAACATCACTTCCGTTCAATCCTGTCACTTCCTTTTATAACTTTCTCTTCATGATGTGAGTAAATATTGAAATAACAACAAAATGATACACCTTTGATAAACGAATATTAATTGCACAAATGTTTGTTTGACGTTATCTTCATCCAAAATAGACAATTTTACTAAGTCTGACACAGTTCGGATTTAAATCACTATGTCAGCGAGTGGTTTCCAAAATATCTATTTTCAATGGCTTGGTAAAAAATGGTTCTCTTCTAGGCATTCTTTGTATGTGCGTGAATTTCTCAGTGTATACCGTTGTTGCATGGACGTATACGTTATTTAAGATGGTTTGTATTTATAAGTCTTAAAAGCAGGAATTAGATTTATGCTTCAAATTCATCAACTGTTATCATTTGGATTTTTTTTTCAATTTCATGAATGAGCATAACAGAAATTTGATAAATTTACTATATTTCTTTTAAGAACAAGTAAATGTATTAGAATCGCTTACAGTATGTAGAGTTATTTTCACATCAACTATAAGTATGTATATTATTAGGTAACTTTTTTTTTTTTTATTTAAGTAAACTTTATGACAATGACGCCAAAAAAAAATAATTGATTTCACTGGTTTAGTAACCTTTTATTTTTATATAAACCTAGTAATATCTTGTTTCTCATGTAAGTACAAAGGACATGGGTCATGGCTTACATCTTCTAGCTTTTCATATTAAATTCATTTTACTGTAGGTGTTTTATTGGATTCCTTTAAGTGCAATTCCTTTACTGTTCTTTCTTTTTATTTATTACATATATATATATATATATATATATATATATATATATATATATTTTTATATATATATACACAAACAAAATTTAGTATATGAAAAAATAAACAAAAACATTTATAAAAACAGCGTTTTTATGTCAACCTATCCATTCGTTCTCTATGTATTTTTATAAATTAAATGTATTTATAAAGTATTTTTACTTATGGGAACGTTTTTCTCAGTTTTTATTCCTTTCCTTAACTCTCAGCTACGTTTAGCCGTATATATTCCTTTTGGTTAGTGCATAAAGTTCCAGTAGCTTTTAACAGAATCTTTTACACTAATTCATAACATAATTATTTTTTACACTAATTAAGAGCATTGTTATCTTTTACACTAATTTATAGAATCATTATCCAATCAAAACTGTATTTTATCTGGCTTTATTTACCATATGTCACATTTCATCCTAAAAGTATGTTTTCGGCTTTGATTCAATTAATTCTTCAAGTAATTTTCAGGATCTTGAACTTGTTGAAACCGCTGATCAAACAAGAAACTTGGATCGAATCATTTAAATGATAGTTTACATCTGGAATATGTGGCGAAAGCTTTACAGGTTGAATGATTTCTTAACCGTTAGTTTTCAAACCTTTTCTATTTTACCATAATTTAAACGTGCCAATTGCCCAGTTCCATTTCGCAGTAACACTTTGTCCATGTACCAATAATCCGTAATAAAATAAAATGCTTTTCCACCGAACACAGGAAAGATATAGTCTCCTAAGTAGATTCCACTCAGCTGGCATGGATTTTGCTAGTTTTCCTTAGTTTGAATGTTTATCTATTTTTCAAAACTAGTAACATTTTTTTTTAAATGCCATATCACTTTCATGGCTCTCCACATATTTGTTTTTTTCTTTATCTGTGAATTGCTGTGATCTCTTGGAAAAGGTAGTGAAATGTATTTCTGTTGCTTTCTCTTTGTATTTCTTTTTTTGTATTCAGAGTTGTCTCTCAACTAGAGTGACTACCACGCAAATCTAGAGAACGAAGTCTATTCAGTTATGTAATCCATAGCTGGAAGGAGAATAAATTGATTCGTTCCTTTGCCAAGAAGATTACTGCGAAGTGAATACAACTGACAAGACCGGAATTTGTACGAGTCTCTGAATCCACTTCATTACTCGCTCATTCTAACTTGTCCAAACATTGGCTCCTCCTCTTTCTATAAAAGAAATAAGAGACGTGTTATTTCCTATATCTTTCGTTACGCTTGTAAATGACATTCGGTAGGCACAAACAAAAAATAATAATGCGTAAACTTTAAAAAACACTTCTGATATTTACTTGCTATCATGTATAATATGGTGATGGTAAATAAAATGAAATCATTTTGTATTTTGAAGATCATTCGGTTATGATTAAATAATGATACCCACATCTCTATTGTTACGATTGTGCTTTCCGACCTTCTTAAGGTATCTGTCGATCAGATTAAAGTTCAGGGAAATTGAAAGTGAACACTTTATTCAATCTACGGGGGTAGATTTTTCTCGTTCCGCTATCCAAGTCTAGGGATATCTCTTCGTGTTTAGTTGTTCAGTTATTGCTAGTCCTGTTACCACTGAGTCTAAGTACATATATGATACTCGGCGCGGGGATTAAACTCAATTTTTATGTCACCAAATTTTATAAGCGGCGCTTTAATCCTCTAATCAAGAGTTTTCCAAACTGGGCGATATCGCCTACCGGTGGGCTATTTCAGCTGTTGGGTAGGCGATTTCAACTGATGAATGGGCGATTTCAGCTGTTGGGTGGGCGATTTCAATTGATGAGTGGGCAATTTCAGCTGTTGGGTGGGCGATTTCAACTGATGAGTGGGTGATTTCAGCTGTTGGGTGGGTGATTTCAACTGATGAATGGGCGATTTCAGCTGTTGGGTGGGCAATTTCAATTGATGAGTGGGCGATTTCAGCTGTTGGGTGGGCGATTTCAACTGATGAGTGGGCGATTTCAACTGATGAATGGGCGATTTCAGCTGTTGGGTGGGCAATTTCAACTGATGAGTGGGTGATTTCAGCTGTTGGGTGGGCGATTTCAACTGTTGAGTGGGTGATTTCAACTGATGAATGGGCGATTTCAGCTGTTGCGTTGGCAATTTCAATTGATGAGTGGGCGATTTCAGCTGTTGGGTGGGCGATTTCAACTGATGAGTGGGCGATTTCAACTGATGAGTGGGCGATTTCAACTGTTGGGTGGGCGATGAGAAATGGAACTGATGAGAAATATTGGTTGGCGATATAGTATTAAAAACGTATTTCAACATATATTACTCAAAATATATTCAGGGGAGATATGCAAAGAACCAGAATAAAATAAAAAAAAACAGGAGGCTAATTGGGAATAACTTGGTCACATTCCTAGATAGTAAATCCCACAAACATGAATATTTTGCTATATTCTATAATTTTGAGAAGGGTTATTAAAATTCAAACATTTTTTTCAAAGGAAATAAAAAATTTTCGGATATAAATCAAATAAGGGCAAACCAAAAATAACAAAAAACTTTCGCTGAATTTTTATTAGGTTCATATATTCTTTTTAATTTTATAATTAGAACAAAAATCGTTTATTTTTTGCTAACATTTTCAATACTAACCCTAGCTATAAAACTATAGTTGATCATAAAACTAAATTATATATATATAGTTTTCAACGGTCAAGTTCACTTTCATTTGTTTTGTTCTTTTTTTAATACGGTAGTAGCATTCTCAGCAGCCACATAATTCAGTTTTATTTGTTACCTACCTTTGGTATTTTAACTACATCTTAAAATCACTTTACGAACCAGTAACAAACTGTTACCAAATAATTTTTATATGTTTTTTGAATATTTACTATACAGGTGGGCGATGGAAGTTTTTTTCATATGAAAGTAGGCGATGACGCAAAGAAAGGTTGGGCAGGCCAGCTCTAGGCCATTTGTTCGTTCGAAATTCCCTGAAGGTTACCCAGATCGACAGACACCTGAAGAAGGCCGAATGGGAAAAGAACCGAAACATTGTGGTCGTAGCAACAAAAACAAGAACATTCGTCTGACTGAAAATAATATAATAATGACATCTTCAGAAATTCAAACAGAAATCATTCAATTTATATGTTCCAAAACACCTTTATCTCCACTTCTTTACTTTTAAGTTATGGTCTCACTCACGCTATTTCCATTGCAAATGTTCGGATGACCTCAATTCTTCAGTTCCACCAGTTCAAACCTCTACAGGTAGGACACGCCATGCTACTTCCACGGAGTCGAATCATCCACATTTCCTCCGTATTCCAAATGTAAGGAGAACGTTCCACGCGGTTACGGATTGGAGTGCATGCAAGCGGAGAGAAGAGTTGACCAGCTGTTGCGCGTGACACACCCGCTGTGACGGCTCGACGTGGTCGACGATGTACAGCGACGTACTGGCGAGCCCCTGTTTGCGACGATGGAAAATCGACAAATCTATAAAGGTCTGCTGCATGAGCGGAAAAATCAGCCAGAATAAAAGGAAACTATGAAAGGCAGTAAATTTGGCAACACATCTTAAAACACAGATTTAGATATAGATATAGATTTTTTTTTCTAGTTTTTTGGCCTCATTCATATCCGTCTGTGCTTATGACAATTTATTTAGAAAAGCAAATTCTCGGATTTGCTAAAAAGAAAAAAAAAAAAAAAAAAAAAAAAATCGTAAACATATTTTTATCGTAGACAGGCCAAGGCAGGATTATAGCGATTTTCCAAGCATAGTTCAGATGAGGCACAAGGCCGAAAGTATGGGGCACCCAGTGAGGATCGAACTCACTACTCATTCGTAATTGTGCTAGCAAGACAATATTGCTAACCACTACACCGCCTCGGAGTGACCCCAAGGCAGGATTATAAGTTTGAATATCAACATAAAAACAACCGTAAAGAATAAAAGAACAACAACAACAACAATAATAATAATAATAAAACAAAGCATCCGTAAAACAAACAAGGTGAATGTATTTAACAGCAGAATAAACCGAGTTCTAAGGTTTTAACAGATTTTTCGACATGACGCGCGGTGAAATGGGTGTGGGGAGAGGGTTAACAGAATATGATGTCACCGCTGACGTCATATCCACGCGTCCCAGCAGCGAAAACATGGAATTGGGTGAGGGACAGCATATGTCCATGACGCCATCGTAACCAGTCCAGTGGTAGAAATAATAAAAGTAGTTTTAATTATACAAGTAATAGTTTTAGTAGAAGTTATAATAATAATAGTTTCAAATAGTATTGCTTATATATATATATATATATATATATATATATATATATATATATATATATATACATTGAGTTTTCGTTTACATGGTGCATTAGAAAAACATTAACAAACCAATAATTTTGTGTGGAAGAAAAAGAGAAAACAGAATTGAACAAGACATTTTTTTTTTTTTGTATACTTTGTCATGATTTTTTATCGTCTGTTCATAAGAGAATAAATAATTAAATAAAAAAAATATGAACGGGATATAAAAGCGTTGTTTAATTAAGAATATTGTTTTTACTTTTTTTTTTTGTCATTTTAGTTGTTGTTGTAGCATTGATGAGGATTAACATCAGAATAAATACAGGTTTGTTTGTTTTTTATGATTGTTATGTGTTTGGAAAACGACTGAGGCTAGCAATAAAAGATAACAAATTTAAGATATACATATACGTTTTTTTTTTATCACTTTAAGTATTTTTTTAAAATAAGTTTCCAGAAGAAAAGGGACTATAACAATATTTGCGTTATCGTTACAGTTTATTTTTTTTCTTTTGTAATTGTCGAATTCTTGTTTGTGGATTTGATATTTTCTTTCCTTTTTTATTTTAAAATTCTTTTTCTCTGTGTTTTCGTGTTCATATTGGCATTAATACCGTTTTGTATTACGAATAATTTATATTTACGTTTACTTCAAAATATAATTGTTATTATTAGTAGTAGTATCCCTGCTAGTTGATATTATTTACAATATCTGCCATATTTGTTATTCGAGAAACTTGAATAAAACCCGGATTTCCAAGATTTAAATTAACTAACTGGATAATGTAGTCTGTTTTCTGTCGAATTGTATCTTGTTTCATATTTGTGCTGATTTAAAAACATATTTAACTTACGCGTTGCTACGTTTATTCATGTAGATTTACAAGTGTACGAGGTAAGTGTTGTGAATGCTGTATGCACGAATCTTTTTTTTATCATCTGAGACCGTGTATGAACATATTTTAAATCAATTAATCTTGATGTTAGCAGTTTTGACGGAAGTCATCAACGCCGTAGACACATTTCTGTTTGATGTTTTATAGGATATCATCGTTTTTGCTGTCAATGTCTTCGTTGTTGCTGTAGTAGATCGTGTTGCCACAAGTATTGTCTGTATTCTTCAGTAATATTATCAGAATTATTTTCATTATCTTAATCTTTGACATTGGTAATAATCTCTTACTGTCGAGATCCTATCCCCTCGTGATGTACACGATTCTGAATTATTCACTTTTAAATGTTCTTGCTGATGTTATGTAATTTCATGAATATTTGAATACCAGGAAATTAACGGAATATGTTTTTTTACTGTTTTATATAGTTTTCTGTTTAGACTTCTCGACTCTTCCTCCTCCTCTTCCTCCACCTCCTATTTCTTCTTCTTCTTCTTCTTCTTCTTCTTCTTCTTCTTCTTCTTCTTCTTCTTCTTCTTCTTAAGTTCAAGTTGACCAGCCGTTATTTTATGAAGGTGGTAATTGTATATTTTTTTTTGTTTTTATCTCATGTTTGGGGAGAGTCGGAGAAGCGGTCGGACAGTGGTGAACAAGAAACCGAAAACTGGGGCAGGTAAAATGGGTAGGGTTTAAACTGGGGTACCTCAAATGGGTGGGGGTGGGGGTTGAAAGAGAGAGTGAGAGAGAAAGAGAAAGACAGGGAGAGAAACAAAAATTTTGACAAATTATTTGAGAAGAAAGTAAAATAAAAACACAACTAAAAAAAAAATTCAATTTACAAAATAAGGCAGATTTTAAAAAAACTTGAGAAAATTTTTCTTTTTCTTTTCTTTTTTGCGTGTTTGTCAAAACAGATAAAAAATATCCTTTTCTTTTAGACTGTGAATATCTTCGGACTGACCCGCCCAACTCTAATCAGTTTACGATAGCGATCGTAAATTGACCGTCTTCTTCAGGTCGAAATGACGACACTGTTGATTAGCGAGCATACAATTTTAGCAAAAGTTATCGTTAATTAGCGATTTTGCAAGAGTAACTTCATATTTTCGTATCCAGTCCTATCGCCGGTCTTCTATTTATTTTCTAGAGTAACGATATGATCTATGTAGAAGGTGGATAAATAACCATGGGCAATCTCTTTCAATAATTATTGCTTACACAGCAGCAACAAACGTTGTTTTAACTTTTCTGAAATATAGCAGCCAGAGGCTCTTTTGTTCCATAAGATAAACATGGCCTCATATAAGACTTCGATTCAGATAGCCTCGTTCTCTGGTATTACCCAATCTCTTTTTAAATAAAGCTCATAATTTCAAGATTATAAATGATTCAAATATTGAATGAAATTTAATGACTAAGCAGAATGACACTCACGCCATTACTGCCAAAAAGCAGCTAATATATATTTACGACTTCCGCTAGTTTTTCATAATCTAATATAGGTTTAGGCGAGCGTAATCCCAGAAAATGTTTATTTGAAAAAAATGTTAAATATATATATATATATATATATATATATATATATATATATAGCTTAGGTATGTATATGTGTCAGAAATATACATTAGAGTTCAAAAGTTTGAAGCCAACCCCAGAATTAGCATGGGATGAGTTTGACAGAAGAGTGAAAAACAATAGAAAAAGAACTCTTAGAGTCACTGAAAAAAGAATGGAATCAGTTAACAAACTTATACTTGGAGAAACTTTTGCAATGAATGCAAAAATATTTGTGCTGCAATAATGAAGGCTAAAGAAGGATATTTTGACGTGAGCAAAATTTTTATGATAATTTTTTTTCTGTCAATAAAATTTCTAATAAAAAAAATCATCTCTCACTTGTTTAAACCATGCATAACTAATTCCTCTTATTTAAAGTACAAAACAACTAGATTTTGGTCCAATTTAAAAATATCAGGTATCGTGTCAAACTTTTGAACTGTAGTGTAGAAAACATATGCACAGATGAAGTTTTGGATGCACTGAGATTCGCTTACGCAAGCATGTACGAATGTTTTCGCGCATGCGTCTTCTTATGTGTCTCTATGAATGACGCAGTATTGATTTAGTCTTGCGTGAATGTATATATATATATATATATATATATATATACATATATATATATATAGATATTGGGTAGGAGCATTAAAACATTGACTGATAATGCAATGACAGCAATTCTCTTGTGGTTTCTTGTAAGGAATGAAAAAATATATATATTCCTATTATTTATTGCCTTCTTCAAAGCTAGTACATACAGAGACAGCAATCACCTGAAAAGTCGGGAAAATTCTGATCGAACTGTCGTAATTCCCAAATTCAATGTAGTTGAATGAAACAGTCCGAAGTAACTCCCAGGAATCAATGATTCAGGTTTTCAAAAACAGATTCGTTTTATCAAATTATTTAAAAAAAGAAAAAAAGGACACACAGGAAGAGAGAGAAAGGCGTAACTTGAACGATAATAATTGCAGCAATCATAGTTATATAGAAATCATATATATATATATATATATATATATATATATATATATATATATATATATATATATATTTGCACATCATTTAGGTAAAACTATGGTTTCTTCTTCCCTTTCTCCATCTCTGTTCTTCCTCTCTTTTCTTCGTATAACATTTTTTTTTTCATTTCTTCTGTCACTTTTACTTCTTCTCTCTCGTTCATTCACTCTCCATATTCCATTTTCTTTTGTATTCATCTGAATTCTTCAGTTCCTCTTCTTTCATCTACTTTCGTCGCTAAAGTTCTTGACACCGCTGGAACCAGCTCTCCTGATTGGCACGCTAGGTGGCCAACGGACGTAATTGGCTCTGTGTAAAAGAAAAATAATAGAAAATTGAAAGAAAAAGAAAACATTAAATAATTATTTGCAATATTTGTCATATGGTGGAGTAAAATAAGAATAAAAATCTAGCAGTACTTGTGAAAATTTCACGGTTATCCTATTTAGATTTTCTAAGGAAACATAAGTTTATGATTGAATAAAATCCTTACGACTTCAACAGATATAAAATACCCGAAGAAATTTCCCTATTGCATTGTTAAATATTTAAGCTTAACAGCTATTTTTTAATCGCTATTACCCCATGCAATGCAGCAAAGCCACTAAGACACAAGGGGTTTACAGGCTGTAGAAGAATTAGGAACAGAAACATTAATAATGATCGGAAAGAGGAAAGAATAACCAGGGGAAAGTAGATAGCTGTTGACTAAAGTAGGTATGATACCTTTGAACTGGAAAGGAGTTCCATAAGCCAAAAATGCGAGAAAAGAAAATGTTAGCATAGAACTTAATATTACATCGAGCCAGTTCAACTGTATATTGATGAGATCTCGACGTCAGTCTAGTACCGCGCTTAAATTTAAAAAGTCTGGGTATATTAGCAAAGAGCATTATTTATTCTGTATAAAATAAAATGCCAAAATAGTGAATATGGGGAAAAAGACGTCTTAACATTAAACTTAGCTAGCCACAATCACATAGCCAAATATGCCACAATATTCTTTCTACCAAACAACATCCACCGTAATACCTCAATATCTCTATGAAGTCCTAATTAGTCTCCATATGTACAATTCTTGTCTGTGTGGATGGGGAATATAACAGTAAAGGTCTCATCCGAACAATTATCATGAAAGTATTTATAGAAAAAACACAGAGAGGCAACCTTAGGGCAAGAGGAAACTGACTGAAGCCGAGGGGTCAGATCAGGACCAATAATATTGCAGATTCTTCTTTGGGGTTTCTCAAGGAGCTCAGGGTAAATAGCGAGTGCATATGTGGCAAAATATTGTAATAGCAATCATTTGTATGAATATCATTATTTAAAGAAGTAAGAGGGTGCAAATGAAAAGTTTAAAAACTGAAAAGGTTTATTATTTCATTGTAGCAGACGTTAAACGCAGGAAAAA